TCTGTACTGAGCCATGTGAGGGCTTGTTAGAACAAAATTGGCAGGGGGCCTGACCCATACTTCTCCCGGGCTCTGAGGGTGGGGTTTCCTCCGACTGCACTTGAGCTAATAGTCACCAGCAGGAGCCCTGGACTTTGCTCTGTTTGGTTTCCTTGTGGATAGGCTGAAGAGGGGACGTTCTTCCCTACAGACAGACAAGGACTGGCTTTGCGGTGACTGGAATGAAGTTTGAATTTGCCTGCAGCTGCAGTCACTGTTGAAAATCAGCATTAGCTTCTGCTCCATTTCAGCTTGGCTGATACCTACCAACAGCTTCCCAGCAGTGACCACAGTTAACGCTCTGTTCCAAAGGAGAGCTGAAATGGGATGGAAGTGCTGCTTGCCCCTGACAATGCTCAGCCTTGGGGACAGACAGATATTTCCATTTTTACAGCATAAGAGAGAACCCCATGTTTTGGGACATAAACAGCAGAGATTTTGTCTTTTTTAGTACAATGTGTAGCTGGAATATGGCCATGTGGAAATGCCACTGAAAACATGACACTGACATTGCAGAACAAGGGATAGAAATGATGTGTGTGCCAATGGCAAGTACAGTACACGGTTATCTAGGGAGAAGCTCTTTCACATACTGCTTTGTGCCACCTGCATCATACTGGCCTCTCTAGCTCAGAGCAGTGGGTGAGATACAGCCCTGACTCTGCTGCATCATGAATTTTCTAATTTTGCTTTTCCTGTTGCATTTTGCATAATTGTAGGGAAGAGGTGATCTGAGTAATACTTTACAGTAACTGAATATGACACCTATTGCTCAAGGAAGTCATAAGACTTTCCCAGTATTAACACACTTAGAATTAGAACTTCCTTTTCGTGTGTGGTGCGGTACATACGGGGAGAACACATCAGGTAACCATGGCCCAGGTCGACTCCTACCCTCTGTCCTGCCCAGAGGGACCCTCTGTCTTTCAGTTCCTCCAGCTGGTGCTTGCTGACTCCCTTGCTGCTTCAGGCTCTTTGAGTTTTAATTAAGAATGTGTGCAAAGTGTTTTGACAGACTCAGGAAGGGGCTGCTGTAGATGGGCCAAGGATTTGAATATTTTTTTTTGTTCCACTTCTGTTTCTCAGGAACTAGAATTGAATGTGAATTACTTGCATAGTTCATACAGATTCACCATCTGATGCAATGAAGGGATTCTCTTTAATAACTGACTCGACTGGAAGTCACCTGCTCTTCTCTGAATAAAGATGGATTTTTTTCCTCCCTCAGGTTCCACTGTCTGGCATCCCGACTGTAAGCAATCCACTAAGACTGAAGATAAGCTACGGGTAAGCTGAATTTGTGGCAATGACACACCAGATATTTTGTGTGCACAATAACTGAATGCTGTTTTTAAAAGAGTGACTTTTTCCATGTTTTGTTTTGTTTTTTTTCACATAGCTGTCACAGCTCTGGCAGAATAAACAGTGGAGGCACTTCAGAGGTATTGCTCTGATTTTTAGGCTCACCACCTTCACATATCTGTCTCAGTGCACTGCCTTAAAGATAGCGTCATTTACTGACATACAGACATGGCAAAGTCTCTAAGACACTTCATTTCATATCTCAGTTATTGTGAGAGAGACTCTTAAGGAGAAAATGTGAACAGGGCAAATGCTACAATATATTTTAGTATTTTTGCACATCTATGTAATTGCTCTGTAGTTTTCCCCTGTTCTGCGTGGTTATTTACAGCATTTAGACAATATGAACTCTATTTTCTTTGCCATCCAAATAAACCTCAGCCTAAAGTGATCCTAATTTGAATGCCAAAAAGAACTGCAGTTACCCTGGATTCACCTCAGCATACCCAAACTTTCTGGATCAAATCCTTGATGGCAATAATGCTGCACTGATAAATGCTGGAGCCTGGCTTTTTGCATGCACCAGGCAGTTATAAGCCCATATTCACTAATTAATCTTCTGGACAATTAACTCTTTTTGATGTGTCAGTTGGTCCTTTGAACTTTGCTAATTTTTCTGGATATGAATATTAGAGAATGCATATGAATAAAAGATCTTTCAGACAAGGAAACTGAGAGGTACTGGCCTGGAGATAACCTAGGATATCCTGTGGGTTGTGTTCTGTGTGTGGCTTATTCACAGGAAGCCACATCCTTTAGAATTTATTCAGGTCCACTGGTCTGTAAAACATCCCCCACAGAGAATTTACTATAATCGTAGATAATGTACAGATAATTTTTTGTTGAGCAGAGTTCATGTTAGTGTGGGCTGTACTGATAATACAGAAGTATAACTGGCCCTAGATAGGCACATGATCTAGCACAGCTGAACATTCCTGTAGGTACCACCCAGCATTTGCACATTGTTCTGCCCTGACTTTCCGTAAGAAGATGGAAAATTATGCCAGGCTGAATTTTTTTCCTCATGTAACAATTTGAATGTAAGGCAGTGTTTTGGCCCTGCTTAAGTGTCAGAATGCTTGTGCTTTGTAGTGAATGGTTAGGGTACAACACCTCTATTTCAGTTGGACTCAAGAGTCTTATCAAAGCACTCCTGACTGCATTGCAGCCCTTATGAACCTTCCTCAGTTGACCTTATAAATCAGTTGGCTTATTTGTGTTCCGCATGGAAAAGGCCAAAGTCCTCTTCAAATATTTTCCTTTTTTTCTGTCACACATTCAAGCATGTCAGTCTTCTGTCCCCTCAGCTAATTTTAATTGAAGCGAGTGAAGTAAATTAATTCATCCACCTGCAAAAGTTTCCCTAAGTAAGTGAGTTCTTGCAGGAAAATGAAGTGAAGCAAAAGAATGCATGTTAAGGGAACATCTGAGAAATGTTATGGCACAGCTATCCAAGGTCCCCTTGTTCCTGGGTGAGAGCTTCTATGGAGAGGTTTAATATGTCTGTAAAAGGCACTGGACTGAAGTTAGCTGGAGAGATGGAGAATTTTTAGCTTCAACTGTACATCACAGATAAATAGTCTCTGTCTACTCCGGTGCAAAGTCAGACACTTTATTTTAAAACCAGTTTGAGTTCAGTTTGATTACTTTTAGCAAAATGAAATGTGTGTCACTCAAATGAAGGCAGTAGCAAGCAGGTAGGTACAGAAACAAATGAAAGTGTGAGACTATGTGCTGTTTGAACGTGTCACCACTAAATTATGAACTGTACTTTGACTTTCAGTTTCTTATGACATACATTTAGACCCGATGTGAAAATCAGAATCTGGTTTGTGAGTTGCCAAATACATGATATAGGCACTTTCAGGGTCAGGCCTAGATTTTCTGGTTCTGCAAAAAGCCAGTGATGTGGCCTATTTGCTCTGCTGGGTTTCCTTTCCCTATAGAGCAAAACAAAACAAAAAGCCCTTTTATCATTGAAGTCACTTCAGAAGTTTTCAGCAAGTTCTGTTTTTTCTCAGCAACTGAACTGTGATATGAACTAATCAGCTTTCTAGCTGGTCAAGATCTGGGAGGGAGTTCATAAAAACAATGGTTGCTTTAGATCTTCCCCCCACTGGATATTTGTGGAGGATCACAAAGTCAAAACAAGCAGAAAATAAAGCAACTATATGTATGTTAGAAAAATATACATTGCTTAGGGTTTTTTTATAACTGTCTGTTTGTGATTCAGTAAGTAACAGATATTATAATGCACCGATTGTTATCTAGCAAGTAGATATCAGTAACTTGAAAAAAAGAGCTTAACCACTGAGATGGGGAAACTGCTTTATTTTTCACTCATTTTTCCCTTTTGTGTTTCATGACAGCATTCCTCATCTGAGTTCTTTTATCCAAAGAGTCTGGTTCTGCGCAGGCCACGCTCTGCAGAGGTTTGCTGTTATGTTTTCATAGTGTTGATAATGGTCTTCTTTACTGAGAAGATTCTTCATTATTGTCATTTGCTGCGCTTGCTATTACTCTGCCACACAGCTTTCCTGCTATCACTTGCCACCATGGACACTGACGCTGTATTTTGCATCATGTGGTGCAGTGTTGTTTTTTAATTCTCACATTTTTTTATTTTGTTTAATGAAATGCTTATAAATAATATTATTTTTTTTTTAGATTCAGATGAGCTTTTTGGGGCTGTAGTGTTGTTCTTCCAGTGTTACAGAAAGTTTTTCTTCCAAAACAAAAAATTAGAGTGCAAATATGAAGCAAATTAAAATGGTGAAAAGCGTCTGACTTTAAAGCAATGGTTAAAATGAAATAGTTTTTCATAAACAATGGCTCATGCTTTTTAGAAAAAAAAAAAGCCATCAGTTCAATAAATTCCTTTTTACGTGTATTGAATGAATACTTTAGTTGAGAAAATATTTACAGAATTCCAGGTTTGGACATGTTCTGTGTGCTGCCTGAGTGCATTTGCCTCTCTCTAATCTGGGGCACATCCACATCTGAGTTGGGAGGTCTTCACTGTCCTCTTGATTCTGGACTTTCAGACTTCTTGAGTTTGCTTTGTACCTACAAACACTGCCCACTTCCATTTCTTCTCCTTCGGGGCAGAGCTTATTTATTAGTTGTGTCTGCTGTGGAGGAACTGTGGCTGTACTGCATGCAGGCACACCTGAGGTAGCTCTCACCTGATAACAAAGTAAGAATGTACTGCTATGGACTTAGTCCAGACTAGGGCTGGGCAGACGGGCTGACAGAGTCCGTACCACTGGATTTCCATTGTATCTGCTCGTGCTGCCTTCTCATCTCTTAATTGCAAAGTAGAAGTAGTCATATTATCAGCCAGGGCAGGATATTTGAGTTAGATGCAGGCTGCAAGCTGGTGTTACATGGTTTAATCCAATGCTGTGATTCAGTGGGAGTTAATGCAAGCCCTCTGCCCTTTGTCCTGCACAATACTTAACTTAGGATGTAGCAATGCGTTAACCACTCTTGAACACCACTCTCTGTATTACCTACAGAAATATGTATCAAGAAAATACAGCTATAAAGATGTGCTGTTAGTGCTCCTAAGGAGGGCAATGTCTCTGCAGTCCTAAGCTTTATGGGATCAAATGGAATCTGAGAAGAGCAAACTGTGGGACCATTACACTCATCTTTTAGGCCAGTGTAGTGGGTTTTTTCCATTTAGCTTAGCATGCATGAGTCCGGGTTTCCGATGCTGAAATCCAGGAGCCTTAGGATTAAAAAAACAAATCCTATCTAATGTATTAGAAAAACACACAAGGCAAAAGAGGAGCAGCCCCTGTCAAAATAAAGGTATGTTCTCTTTCTTGCTTTGTAGACTGTGTAGGATACAAATAGCTTAGGGTCAGATGAATATCTTCTTGTGTAAATTTGGTCAGTATTAAATTCTGTTTAGATTTACATGCTGATTACACAAAGTGTAATTCAAGGCAGATTTTGGCTTCAAATGTTCTTCTGCAGAGTTGACACAAAGATACTATCACTGCTGTTGCTATAAAGATGGGCTAAAGGCTTGAATCTACTTGAAAATTGTAGGCTGAAAATTGTAGGGTGAAATCCTGTGAATTCTCTGAGAAGTTTGCTGTTGAATTCAGTATGTTCTGGACTTCCCACTTTATTTTCTTCTGCTTTCCACTTAGCTTACTCTTGGTGAAGGCTACATTTGCATTAATAGTCTTGTAAAGGTTTATTCGGAAGCAACATGCCTTCAGTGGTTATGTGCTGAAAATTCATTCTCCTCTCTGGCCTTTGTGTCTAGAAAGGAAAGAAAAATCAGTTGTAGCCTATTAATACATGTGTCTGTGTGGGTTTGAACTAAACTCATTTACTAGTTTTGTCTTGATGCACACATAGTGTAGGTTTTTTAGGCAGAGAAATAATAAGTGCATCCATTTGAAGGACACACTCTGATGTGGAGAAGGGTACAGTTAAACTAGCAGAGAGGCACAAAGAATGCTGTAACACTGAGGTGCTTTATTGGTCTTGTACATGACCACTGAAAATTACTCAAATCCGTAGGAAGCCTGTGTTTAATGAACCCTGGTTCCAGCTCCTAAATAACTGTAAAACCTTGCAGTTGATGAAGCAGGTAGTCAGAGTAGCAAGTGTTGTACTGGGAAAGCCAAATTCCTTTCTGTTGCGAAATTCTGTCTGCCTAAGTAGAATAAATTACATCCTAATCTTCTATTAGTTTATTTATAAATATACCCCCCTAAAGTAGCTTCTGAGGCTTAGAGAATTTACTTGAGCTATAATGTTAAATGTTATTAAGTGAAAACATATTCATTCTTCTGCAGCTATTATCACCGCCTTGCATAATGAACTCTATCAAAAAATTAAGGCAGGTACAGTAAACAATGCTGATGATGCAGTTGTTAAACAATAGTGCATCCATTTGGCCAGATGTTCTTGGGATCAGTTTTGATCTGGTTGCTTGCACTTGTAAGTTTTTATAGAGCATGATTCTGAACATCTGTACTTGAGAAAGCCAGAGCCACCACATTGTAGCAGCATCTGGATGATGTGAATGGCTCTAGCGTGGATTTGGTTTTTAAAGTTATTTATTTAGATGATGTGCTATGCATGATGACATGAAAAACTGAGGTAAATGAAGATTAACATCTTAAGCTTTAAAATCTAATATTAAAATAACAAGTTAATCAGTTTGGGGCATATGCATGGGTGATGTGATAATTGAGCATTGACATTCACAGTGAACGTAATAGGGTGAGCATGACGGTTGGTGTCACCTCTGCCAGTCTGCAAATGAAGTTGGTAAAGAGCTTTTGCATTGAAGACAAATGCATGGAATGAAGAACAAAAACATAAACATAAGAAGTCTGTGATAAAGTAGGAAATACTGACAAGTCTTGCAGATGCTTTGTGATCTGCTTCTTTCCTTTGGCTCCTTTAATGACATGCATGAATTTCTATTGATTTTTTTTTTTGTATACTTCATAGACTTCCTGTATATGGTACAGACATCCCATATTGATATATTTACTTCTGTTACATCCATTTGGGTGGAAGAAGAAAGAAAAAAACCAGATTAGTTCTCTACTGCCAGAAAATGTGCAAAAAGGCCATGCACCACAAGAAAAGAAAAAAAGATTAGTTGTAGTTATTCATAAAAATGTGCTTTAAATTTCTCTGCACAAAGGTGGCATTATGAAAAGCTCTATTTGAATCCTTGAAGAAAAAAAAGCAATCATATAAAGAGTGTTCCAGATCTGTTTGTAGCAGAATTAAGGCAGTTTAACTTGTTTTGTTGCTGGGAGTGTAGAACAAGTGTCACAGGACTATTGTAATGGAAGGAAATGCCTCTAAATTAGTGCATTCATATTAAAGAAGGTTTCCTCTAATTTCTTTACCTGTCTTCTTCCAATAATGTGTGCAAGAGATACTCACATGATATCTCCACTGAATGTTAAAGGTTATATCAGGGATAGCAGCTATTCCTGTTTCGCCTGGGCTCTGATCAGCTCTCCTCTAGGGTGGCATTTACACCCCATTGCAGTTACCTTAATACAAAACTTGACCTCCAGCATGTCTCTTGCCACCTGTTTAAGATATGAAGTCACAAGCATGGTACACAGGGTCAGGGACTCTCAACTGCTAATGAAGATGTAATGTACAATCTAATAAAAGCCAAACCCTGTCACAGATTTTCAGTCAGGAGATTACAGGTCTCTTAGGAGAGGAGCCAACCATAGCAACTAAAAGTATGCCAGAGAAACAGCTTTTATCAAGGAATCTTTCGTGTATATTTGTTAAGGCAAGCAGCACAAATGTTTTTAAGTGCGATGCAATTGTCTTTAGGGGAAAGTGCAGAGCTGTGAAGGATTCCAGACCATATGGGAGCAGCAGAGTAGGAAATAGCCATCTGTGAAGGAAACAGCCTGTGTAATTCAAACCAAGAAACAGGGCAAAGTGAGGCAGGAAGGGTGAGAATAGATGTAAAAGTCCCTTTTTTCATGCACTTTCTTCAAGGGTATGTCATAAACCTAAGCAAGATATAGGACTGGGAGTGAAGAGAGGAGCCACAGAGTTCCGGGTCTGCTTGGATTAAGCTCCTCAGGAGAGGAACAGTGTGTGCTCAGGCAGTGTCTGGCAGGATGGTATCCTGCCCAGGGTGCATGGAGCTTTGCAATAGATGGAAGGTAAAATTAATGTGAGTAGGGGGTATTACAGAAAATAATAGAAAACTAGTTTTAAAGGATGTTGTATCTGGTTCATGCCTGTGTTAATGGAATAGTGGGGAGGAACTTGGAGCAGAAACACAGGGAGGAAATGAAGAACAGGTGCTACAAGTTGCCAGTCCATCTGACAACTGCTCCTGTACTCCAGGGTTAAGAGCATCTAAGAAAATTTTTAGCAGGATGTGGCTGAAACTATATTTTTAAGGTGTCTTGACTTTAATAAATTCACTGAAGTAATAATTACAAGTGAATTTTCCTTTTCTGAAAATGTTTTAGCAGTAACACTAAAAGATGAGACTAAGGAGACGTACCAAGGGTTGAGAATTTCTTGTTTTCTGAAGTGATATAAAAGATCCAGAGTGAAGAGCAACCCAGAGGGCCTGCCAGGTGGGAAGAAGCTGTAACTGCCTGTAACACTTGTTTTCCTACAACAGGGAGAACCGAGCAGACAAGACTCTTAAAGTATGTCTGCCAAAAGCCAAAGGTAACCAGAGGCACCCCTAACAGTGCCTCAACTACTTGATACTGTTCCCTATGTTGTAATGAAAACAATTGTTTTCCATAGCAACTGCAGCAACATGTTACATGTGTCTCCTCTCAAACAGACAGTGGTGTGAAATGGCAGAATGGCAGGGGAAATAATGAAGTGTTTCTCAACAACAGACACATTTTCCAGCTTAATTCTTGTAACATTTCCATGAAACAAGTAGTTGTTGTTAGGTTTTTTTCTCTGATTGCATCATGGGAGGAGCTTAAGGGCAGCTGAAAAATTTCTGTTCCCTTTTGGGATGTAGGAATTTGCAGCTACAGAGAGGAAAGGAAAGAAACATATAAAGGTCCAGCTGAGAAAGTATTCTCAGACGTGCTCTGGAGAGGATTTGTGACTGTGTCAGTCCAGAGCTCTCTGATCTGAATCTTCACGTTTTTTGGTGGAACATGTTCAAAGTCTTTTATTCCTCTGACCCTCCCCGAGTGTGGTGATTTCATTTCCACAAATGAAGTCAGAGAGAGCCTGCTGTATGATCCACGACTAGGCTTCAGCATTTTTAATACAGATGGTTCCAATAGCTTTCCTGGCTATGAATAAAAGTTAGAAAGACTCTGAGGTCTGTTGAAGAATCCTTTCAAGAAATGTGTGCTGAGAGGTAAGAAAGGTCCAGTAGCCTTGTGTTCACTCCAGGTATTGCCCAAGGAAAATCAGTGAGCCAGGCTGTGAAGCCTTGTTTCTCTTCACAAGCTGACGAGATAAGGACTATTTACCAAGATTTCATTTTCAGTGACTTTGAAGTGTCCCACTGTACTAGTGTCAGGAGAGTCATCTGCTGTGATCCCATTGTGATGGGATTTGGGTCTTTGCAGTTAATTAGGGAGCAAAAATTGTTCATGGTTTCTCAGTTGCGAGTACGATATCGTTGAATACCTTTTTTGTGTCTGCTGCACACCAAATTTAGGAGTAATTGCCACAATAGCCTGGGTGACTTTTGCACAAAACTTCCCCCAGGGAATCAGTGTCTGTTTAGTCCTGATTAAGTGTTGGAAAATCCTCTAAGTGTAACAGCACTCGCTCTGTAGAGGTGACTGTTCTCATGAATTTCCGTTTGCAGGACGTTGCCTTTAAACATCAGGTCTTTTGCAGTATGGGGAATCATGACATTTCAACCAACAGTTTAGCTTTCATGTTACATCTAGTTTGTGCTGCAGATGTAGGGAACGGCTCCAAGCCAAGTATTTCTGATTCTTCTACTCAGAAGGACTGAATTCAGTTCTATATTCAAAATTCAAATGTGACTGAACATCTGGGAAGTGATAATGTGTGTGCTATGCTCCTTTCAACGGTTTTGTCTGCTGAACTGCTGAAACCTCTAGCTGTTTGTGAACTAACCTTTTGATAAAATGACCATCAGGACTAGCCTGGATTGTACTTTGTATGGCTCCTTGCAGTGTCTCTGGCAGGTGTTGTTTGGTTTTGTTTAATCATTATTGTTGTCGGTCTTTTACATTGTATGGTTTTAGAAAACCTCCTTCCCCTCTCACAGCACTCCTTCCCCTACCAAAAAAAAAAAACCACCCCACCTGCCTCACAAGATTGCAAAATTTACCAGAATGCTTGCATTTATGTTCACATTTTTTCCTAAAATCAGTTAATTTCAAGATGTATGCAGATTTCTTCACTTAAGACAAAAATTACCGGTGTCAGTGGCTTCAGGTTGCTCTGACAAGTTACTTTTTGTTTTTTAGCCTACAAGAACATCATCAGAAAGTATTTACTCCAGACCAGGTTCCAGTATACCTGGCTCTCCAGGCCACACTATCTATGTAAGTATTACTGCTGACAAACAAGCTGCCGATCCTTTACTTGCACGTGAAATACTCAGTGCTGAAATAACTTTTATACTGATGCTAATGCCTTCATTCCAGTGGCTAAATTGTTAAAGCTCTTGTCATGACAGATGTAGTTTTTATAACTACAGAATTTCAAGAGCAGGGTAAGCCTTTTCCAGGTCCCATTTCCCTTAAAAATATACAGTAAATCTCTTGGAAGTGACTTGGTGATGTGAAGAGGGACAGAAGGCAGACAGGTTATTTGACTTTGTTCGGGGTTATGTGAGGAGATCTCTGCAATTCAATATGCAGTTCTTGGGAGGTCTACTGCCTGCCATTGCAGGACATCAGTAGGATAGAACATCTTCCGTTTCAGAAGTCAGATGTTTTGGTTGTGGAAGGAAAGGTGGTTTTTATTTAAGAAGAAAAATGATATTATGCATCCTGACTGAAAATACAAAGCTATTGATATACTATTTTATTTGTGGTTATCTGAGTAATCAAACATCTTTTTTCATTATTTTAGAGGATCTCTTTCACTTCTTGGCCTCATTATTGGTACCCTTTGAGCCCATAAGATTTTAGAAATTAAAAGTGGAAATGCATTAGCTGAAGGTTGGCCTAAAATTTTCAAAGGAATAACATTTTTCTCCTCTTTTTATACCACTTTTACATGCATTTCAGTGTTGTAACTGCCAGTACCATTTTTTTCTTGGCAGAGAAGTCCATAAAGGAAAAAAAAAAAAACAAACTTTTGTGGCTGTACTAATCCAGAACTAAGTAGAAAGAGTATCAACTCAAATGTACTTGGGTGAATAGCAGAACAACTCAGCCTTCTCAAACTTGGTGTATTTCCATGCATATAACCTAAACTTCTGTAAACTTACATCCATTTAAGAGTCCTGTTCCTTGAAAGTCTATATAACCTTTGTCCTCATATAAAACACGCTCTCAGATAACCTGCAAAAAACCCAAGGGAGAAGTGGAAGATAACGGCTAAGGAGGCAAATCACAGGAAGGCAATTTAGTGAGAGTCCCTTATGCTGGGAAGAAGTGACAGACTACAGAGCAAACTTTATTTTCTGTTACCTATGTATAATGCTGAATCACTGATTTTATAGATAACCTTAAAATTGTAGTGTATGACACAGAAATTTATCAACCACATGTCTAATAATGCAGAAAAATTACCAAAATTACAAATCACAAGTCCTAAGTTTTCGTTAAATACTAGTTCTTCAGTGCATTTCAACAACAACAAGAACAATTAGCTGATATATTAAAAATGTTCATACTGCAGATAGCAAAACACAGCACATGTCCTGGAGAACTGCCGTTCTGCTGGTAATATCAACTCCATAAACTGTAGCTTATGAATTTAACGGCTGCTCAACAGCACAGTCTGTAGGGCAACATGGTGGCCTAGACCAGGGTCTGCAAAAATGTTAATTCATATTGGATTAAGATTATCCAGACATATTTACAGCTCATTAACAGACTGTGGTAAAAATATTACAGAAATTACATACATTAACATACTATGTATTTTAAGAGTAAAGTTGGCTTAAGGTGTTTTGCTATATCTGGTGAGTAAAAGCTAAACAGATGTGAGGCTATTTTTAGAAAGTGAATTTCATAACTATTTCAAACCTTATTTCTCTATAAAAAATGTTTTGTATTGTTTCTAATTTATGGCATTGCTTAAGAACCACCAAGACTAGTGGTTTTTAGAAGAGCGTGGGAAGGCAAGTGAACTTTAATCTGAAAATACTAGGTGCTAGTACTCAGGAAGAATGGAACTGAATGTGCGTAGAAACAGATCAGCCTTGTTTCCTTGTGCAGCCTACTATGAAGAAAAATATCTAGTAGAAGAGTTGAAAATCAGTTTGCATATTCTCTTTCAGTTTTAATCATCAAATATATTTCTGTAAGGTAGGTAAGAATGTATGATTTTTTTTTTAAAGTCTTCTTTTAAGTAAGGAAATATATTAGCTAGCTAAACTATAGGTAAGGCTTCTCTCTAGCTGCTTCTAATGGGTGAAGCTGTCTTTGGAACTGATTTCCTGCTTTCCTTTTTTAACTAGTCAAGAGCTCCTTGCAGTTTTAGTGGAAAATGTAGTCAATGTTATGTACTAACTGCATACTATGTAGTATGCAGTTAGTAAGCAACATATGCCTTAGTCAGAAGCTTGGGTTGAGTGATGAGTGCAATATAATAATTGCAGTTGGGAGTTTGGTTACCCAGTCCTGACAAATAGTCCTGCTTGCCTTTTTATTTCCTTGTAATAAGTTGTATTTCCTCTTGTGTGCACAGTTGTAAATTGGATTTCTGTCTGTGGTCTACTGCATGGAATCCTCTCATAATGTCTGTAATCTGCAAATTAAGTTGATGTTATCACACATTTTACATATGGAAAACAAGAGCAGAAAGGTGAAAATACTTGCCTGAGGCCACAAAATGAGTCATTTGTGGAGCTGAAGTTTCCAACTCACTACTTGGAATAAGAAACTTTTGTATTAGATCTATATGTGCCGTGCTCTTTCTTTCCTAAACTAAGAAAACACTGTGTGCTTTTGCAGAGGAGGTCTGCTGGAGACGAACAAGAAGCAGCCACTTCATATGTAGAGTGCCAAAAAGGGTTTTCCGTAGCAACAGTGTGACAACAAATAGACAAAAATCATAAATTGTGTAAAACAGAAATTACCAGTGCATTTGTGTAAGTTAATTTATCTTCTGTCTTTGACCTTCAGGCAAAAGTAGACAATGAAATCCTTGATTACAAGGATTTAGCAGCCATTCCCAAAGTCAAGGCCATTTATGACATTGAACGTCCAGACCTAATTACTTATGAGCCATTCTACACTTCCGCCTACGAGGACAGACAGGAGAGACAGAGTCTTGGAGAGGTAATGAACCGACAAGCAAACTCATGCTGCTATACGCTTTATTCAAAGCCTGCTTCGCTTCTATCCTCTTTTGAAACAGTTTCTAAGTGACACCTCTAGATATTGTTGCTACTGCTGTTCACAGTGCTTTTTGTCTGTTTGATCTGGGTTTAATGGGAACAATCGTGATGATGCCTCACGTGCAAAACTGCACAATTAAACACACAATTAAACACCTACATTAACAACAGCCACTGGCAGAGGAATGGCAGGGGGGAGGCTTGCAGGCTGCCTGTATATGTGTTCTCAGAACTCACATGGATATCCTAGTCTTTGGGTAAAGACAAGAGCAGAATGTGAGGCAAAAGCCAGCTGGTGGTGTGCTGTGGAGCACTGATATTCACAACAAAGTATGAGGAATACCATGATATTCTATGGCAGTAAAAGGATTAAGAGCAGTAGGATACTCCCTCACACACATAGTGAAGGGAAATATATTTCCAGAGCACTTTGCCAGACATACTTTGTAAAATCTGAACTAGGTCAGGATGAAGTGATCTTTCACCTGGGAAAGCAGGTTAGTTGCAGTATGGAAATACCTGCCTCACATTTTACACTGCTGACATTTAGTAAGGGTTCTTGTGTCTTGCAAGATAGAATAAACTATCTAATTTATTATTTTAAATTTATATTTAAAGATATCTTTCAGGTTGTAGGGTCCCCAACTTTTCTCAGGTGAACTTCCATAGTTGCAATTGCTATTTATATGCTTCCAGTGCAGATCGTGAAGCAGGTTTTGTCATCTAATACCATTTGACTGTAAATTTGGCTTCCTGAATGCAGATCTAAATGGACATAGAAATGGATTTACTTCCTTGCTTCTGGGTGACTTTACTGACTGTAACTGAATTGAGTATGAACATGAGGTGGGGAAAAAAGGAAGTACAATTAATCATTCAGGCACCAGTGGTCTGAAGATGCCCCTTAAGCAAAGTGTTCTTCTGCCCAACAATAGATCAGAGCTGCCTCAGTTTTTCTACTTTGTTCTTTAATGTTCTGTAGGGTTAGTCTTTTAAATTATAACATGAGTTGGAAATTCAGGAGACTGTTGAGCTCAGGAATAAGATAAGAGACTAACAAGTCAGAATATCACAGAATTTCCCCCCTCAAATTTATGTTGGTAGTAAATCCAGCTGACATTGGGTTCAAAACCACTGTGAGATGCATTGGTGACCTCTGACCAGTCCCAACAGGCCTGACCCATTCCACAAAACCCTCTACAAACACAATTCTCTTCTTAGTCACCAAGGAGGAACTAATCTCACCCAGAGAAGGTGAACTATTTGTTAATCCTTAAAAGGAAGCTTCTCACTCACGAAAGAGTATGTTGGGAGCTGATAAAGCAGTATGATGGAAGCTCTCTGCCATTATGTTCTGGGAATAAGCAAAAGCCTTTGAGGTTTTCTTACTCTGTATTTTCACCAGCATTAAAGCAATTAATTTCTGGTGACTACAGAAACTTGTTCTGGAAACAAAAGGGCTCTCACCTTCTTTTCAGAGGATCTGGGTTTTCCACCAAATGCTACTGTTGACTTCTGTCACCTTGGGCAAGTTACCTCACCTCTTTGTACCTGTTTCTCCTCCCTTCCCTTGCCCTAATGAGAACACAAGCCCGTCAGGGGTGGAGTGATCTCTTACTTTGTGTTTGTGTTGTGGTAATCGAGTGACACCAATCTTGGTACATCATACATCAGTCACTGTCATCTTTAAAAAGCAAAGGAGGTGACATCTTTAGTTATGGCAGGGATTGGCGGACTTTGAGTGATTTAACTTGTATTCTCTTTGCAAAGTGTGTGTTTGTGGTGGTGTTAAATAAAAGGGGAGCCTGAGCTTAAGCTTGTATCCTAGAAATGTCCTTCACAGTGATTAAAAAAAGAAATCACCAAACTTGGCTAAGAAAGGTTTCTGGGTATAGAGGGGAGATGTGCAAGAGCCACCAAAGTTAATCTAGTAGTGGAGACAAACCTCAATTGCAGGGAATGAGCTATGAGAAGACTGTATTATTTAGACCTAGAAAATAAGAAAACACGGCATGAGACTTCTTCTTTATTGCAATGGAAGGGAATTGCTTTGAAAAGTTTCCCGTAATCAATCTTGTTCAATTAAATCCCAGTCTTGTTTTTCTGAAGCTCTGATGAAAAGTGTGCTCACGTAGCACCATCTAGCGAGACCAGGCATTTTAGCTACAGACCCGCCAGCAGTTAGCGGGGGAGGTGAAAGGGAGCTCATGAAGAGTAGTTCAGCTTCTCATATAAAAGAGATGAAGGCATATGAAATGAGATCTGTAAATAAATTTTCTGTAGTGATAACATTTCCAGAAACTGTCAGTTACTCAGGTTCCTCATGTCCCAAACTTCTGCCCTGCTAGCAGCAACCTGGTTAGCACTGAAATCGTCTCTTCTCAACTCTGACTTTTGCTGCATAAATATTGAGAGAAGCAGAATTTTACCTGCATGTCCTTTGTTTCTACTACTCTGTCAGTTGAAAGCATTGAATGTCTGTAACAGCTTTTAGTAAACAAGCTGTTGTAAATTGAGAAAAGTATTTTTTTCTAATGTGATGGATGCTTCAGAATGGAGCATCCTACCTGGCAGTTCAAAAAAAAAAGACACTTAAAATGAGGTCAGTGCAAAATGCTGGAACTTGTGTTATAAAATGATACCTGCAAAAGTTTTCAGAAATTTCCCAGAGCATAAAATGACCTGTATGACTTCAGGTATTACAGATCTCAAGGTGTTAGAGCATTGAACCTGTTGCATTGAGTAGTTTTACTGTGAATTTGGAATTTGGTCAGAACAGGTTCTCCACACAGTCAACTTCTCTTTTTTCTTTTTTTTTTTTTTTTTCTTTTTTTTTTTTTTTTAAATCTGGAGTCATCACTGTATTCCCACTAGCTTACTATTCTGGAACTGAGCTGTTTCTTCTCTGTCAACTGCACAGTGTATTTCTAACTGACTAGCATAAAGACTTCTGTGATAGACTAGATTTTAAAAGACCTTATAAACCCTGAAGAGTGTTCATTGGCAGACTCCGAGTCTGAGATACGTCAGTTCACCTGTGCATGATAAAACAGTATGTTGGCTGCAGAGTGTGGTTCCATTTCCCAAAAAGCACTGAGATTATTTCAGATAGTGATGGAGTAAAAATACATGAAAGGGTGGTCATGTATTCAGGATGTTACTTTCTGGGATGGCTTCCCAGTCTTAGATTCTTGTGACTACTTTTTGCAGTATTCATTACCTTAGCATCTAGGCAACCACTGCAGATTATGGACATTTATTTACAGTAACACAAAAATTACCAGTAGAAAAATGTGGGAATACACATCCCAATGTGTTTTTTCCATTTGTATCAAAAGTTTTAGATTAGCTCTCAGTTTTTGTGGAGAATGATGCTGCAAAGCACTGTGTATGATATGTTTCATGTGGAGCAAAGTTTTTATAGCTGCTGATCTATAGCTGTTAGAACTGTAATGAAATGGTGGTTTACTGTGTAGACCTTTTGCAGTTATAAGGATTAGGAAAGAATGTAGAAGACATTCAAGGATTTGATGGAAAGTAACAAAAGCAGTTTTTAAAAAGCTTTATGGAAACTTGCTGAAAAGGAGATGTTCTGTACACAAATTAAAAATGTCACTTCTTTGTTTGGATATTTGGCATTCACAGTGTTACCAGCTCCATGAGAGTTAATGGTCTCTCAATCCTAAATGTATAGTTGGATATCTATTACTAGAAATTCTGCATACGTTTTACACTACTGCTGTTGTACATTACTGTAATAGTTAGACCAGAATCAGCAATTTTGCTTCTGAGACATTATCTTAATAGCTGGATCATTCTATAATAATTGTGGTCTCATTTAAAAGCATAATCTCTTGCCCAGTTTATTATGGCAGTTAAATAATTTTGAAGTTTAGTGCATAAAAGAAATTATTAAATCCTGATCTTCCAGCTTCAAATTACCTTATGATTAAAGGGCATGTAACTGGTAATTATACATAGCCTTTATTTTTGTTCATACCATCAATGTGTGCATAATCCTATGTTTCATTTCTAAAGGTATTTCTTGCCTCAGTTTCCCTCTGTAATAGAAACTTTTCATAATATTGTGCATATTTCTGCCCACTGGCCTTTGTGCAGTTCTTTCAATATACATGCTTGCAATTCCTGTCTGTTCTCCTTACGTAACCATGGAAGAACACAGAGGTTTCAAGATCACATCAAAGAAATGTTGAGGACAACTACGTACTCCTTTGCATGCATATGAAATGTAAGGTCTTGGGGAGAAGCACAGTTTTGCCAGAGTATGTGTGTTGGAGGAAAAACATGCTTCATCCTGGAAGTTATTCTGTATTTCTGATTTTCCATGCAAAGCTCGAGTTAACGTTATTTACTTTTGATTTCCACTTTAAAGATTCCTTCATAACAGGCATGGTTATTAAATTAATAATGCTTTCAGATTTTGATCTTTACAGCTATGTTTTAATTACCACAATGATTAGATGGCTGAGAGATGATGTTGCATGATATTTGCCTGAGTTGATTATGCTTATAAAGATTATCCCAGAAACTTGAATTGCTTCAATGATTTATGGACCAGTTCCTGAGCAACGTGGAAAAAAGAAGTTCCAGTGCTGCAATGGCCTCAGTAATTTCTGTGTTGACATTTATTTTGCCTTATATCCATGTATCTGCAGCAATGTTTAGATTGCCATTTTCTGGCCCAGCATGTGCAATGATATTTCAATAACCTTATTTTTATGTCTTCGCAGTCTCCAAGGACATTATCACCTACCCCTTCTGCAGAAGTAAGTTTGGTGGAATCTTTGGGGGCAGTATTTTGTTGTGATGAGAATTATGCACTTCAGCAAATGCAGGTGTTGATTTTGCAATCAGTCTGATCCATCTCTGTTTGCTGCATAGGCATGTTTTCTGAATATTGAAACTGAACAAAAATTAACTCTAAAAAGAAGACCTTAAGTTCTTATTGACCGATTGTACAAAAAAATGAAGCTGCCACTCCTACCTGTTTGGTGTCTATAAAGCAGAGTTATTTTTCCAGCAGAGGTCACTTCTTGTACATTCATCCTTCTTGTGGCACAGGCAGACTCAGATCTCAGGAGCTGGATGATTTACATCAGCTAAAATGCTGCTCAAAGCATCTAAATAATAAGCCATGTTTGCTCCTAAAACATCTGCAGTTTTGTCTTGAAGAAGACAACTATGGTTTGGTTTGATTTTGCTTTTCCCTAGGAGTTAATTTGAACATCACAATAACATGAAACATTTGGGAAGTCATTTGTCAGGATACAATAGAGGCCATTGCAGAAGCATTATCGTTTTGGGGCTGGGAAGCGTTGCTTATTTGCAATGTAAAAGTTGTGGTGATTGCTACATGTTAAAAAAGTGACTATAAAATTTCTTGTAAATCTTCATGCATTGACATCGGTCCTGTCCCTTTTGTCCTGGATTAGTTTGCTTTGTGGCATTTGGAGGAGGGGTGTGGTTTGGTTTTTTCTTTTTTTTTCTTTTTTTTTTTTTTAATTGGCTATTTTTTTCCTCTCAGGAAACCAAGTAAATTGAATTATATACAAGAAAGTGTCATGTGATACAAAGGGAATCTAATTTTGATACTAAATACCCTTTGATGTAGCTAGTTGAGACACATGGTAAATTAAGCCAGAGAGAGCTCTCTGGTGGGGGTATTTGAACTCTTGCTGGTCTCCATGTTGCAAGCTGAAGGCCAGCTCATGTCCCTTGTGCAGTACTCTGCATATTCTGAATGTACAGACATACTCTGAATGCAGCTTCCCTTATGGAGTCACAGGAATGTGGGCAAATCTAGGATTATATAGAATTTAATAGAAATTACAGGTGGAGTTGGAACCTTCCAAGATTGAACTTTAACCCAGACTATAAAAATGGATTGGAGTCTTTGGAACAGATCATTAGAGAACAGTAATAACAAAGTAGGCTGAAAGCTGAAGGGGTATTGTTATTTCAGTAGCTTCTACTGATGTCTTCAGATCCAAGAGAGTTAAGCACTGCTAAAAATGTGTAATGTGTGTTTACATTTATTAGTGAATGCTTCTGTTCTGCAGGGTTATCAAGATGTTCGGGATCGCATGATTCACAGGTCTACTAGTCAGGGCTCCATCAATTCTCCAGTGTACAGTCGTCATAGCTACACACCCACCATGTCACGTTCGCCTCAGCATTTCCACAGACCTGGTAAGGGCAACTGCATTAGAAGTATATTAAAAACTATTTTTTCTTTATTATGTCACTTAGTGGTGCAGCAGAGCACTCGTTTCTCTTAACAGTAAAAATTTAGGATTGAAAAATTGTTGCGTATTTTAATATTTCCTTTTGTACCTGTTTTTTTTATTCTTGATCCATGCAGTCTTTTGCAGTAGGCTGATGAGTGTTGCTTACATCATAAATATGGACCTTCTGGTTTTGTTTCTGATAATTATTTTTAAAACTTTGTATGTTTCTGAAAGTGAGCAAAAATTTGCAGCAGTGAATCACAAACTTCATTCTGGAATTTGGGAAAAGTATTGCATATTGGAAACAAAACTTATGGCTTGATTATACAGAAGTCAGTGATGTAGGATTCCTCCCTGCTAAAACCGAATTTGTTTAAAACTTGGTACAGCCATAGAATCTGAGATTCAGCAGCAAAACCCCCAGATATTCCAAATTGCTTGTCATTTTTTAAAACATAGATTCATGGTTCACAAGGTTGATTTCTTAATTACAGCCGTAGGCAATTGCCTGGGAACATTTAAAAAACACAAACTTGATTTACTGATTTAACAGTTATATACAAATTCTATGTACACTATGGAAAATATACAGGTCGCTCAAGTTCCCAGTGCATTCAGAATTACTGGTTGTGTATATGAAAGCAAGTTATGAAAATGAACTGTTCATCCACACCCAAACTGCATTAAAAAAAAAATCTCTAAATGCCCTTCATAGAAGACTTTTCAAGACTGATTTTATTGTTTATGGTAATGAATTAAATCTTTGTGATCTGTTTTTAAACTAAGCAAGACAATCGTGCAGTTCCATCTTCTTTGGTGATTACAGCTGAGCAGTTGGGATGCCAAAAGCCCGTATACAATAGGAGCTACATTTTTAAAATTAAAGATTTGTAATAGAGCCACCACTGTGGAACTTGAATGCTGTGGCCGTTTCCTAGTGGGGGTGGGCTGAAAGCAGCTAATTGTGTCTGTCAGTGAATGCCTTATTTAAAGGACCCAAGGGAGGTGGGACAGAAGCAAATTGTGTCCGATGCTTAGTGCTGACAACATGACTGTGTTTTAAGATGACGTTACAACTGAAACCGAAAGAGACTTAAAAGTGTGAAAAAGCTGCAAACTTCTGTCTCTTGATTCTGGCAATTCTGAGGGGATTTTTCCATTTCTGTCACTTCTATGGGATATGAACAAATCCAGGCCCTATTCCAGACTTTACTGTGATTGAGTTTTACTATCTGTGTTCAGTCAAGGACCTTCCCCAGAAACAGTCTCTGTTTATGTAACTCTTGTAATGGGCGGGTGGGCTCAAGCCAGACTTTGGATCCAAATGTAAAATCTTCAAAAGTTTGCAGTCTGGGGGATTTTCTGAGAAGATATTTGTTCAAACTTATCTCTGTTCCGATGATCTCATCTTTGGCTCACCTGTTTCTGTTTCTCATATGACACAGAAGTAATTCTATTGAATTTATCATTTTGATCTTTGCTACTCTGCTTTGGGGTAATCGTTAATGCTACTCTATAATTTTCCTGCAGTAATTATTCATGTTGAATTATAGCACATGTATATTTACCATTTTCTCCTAATGGCACTTCTTATCATCATGTTATTTGCAAGATTAATTTCTCTCTGAATAAACCCACTGGCCCCAGATAACTTCTCTGTGGCTCCCAGCTAGCCCTTGAGAGAGAAGTGAACCACTGTGATGGTGTTGTCAGCATAAGGTTCTTCAAAAATTTGAGTGCTACAAGTTTTAAAAAAGTTTGCAGCCTTTTCCTCCTGCAGTGCCCTAACTGATGTTGGCAGCATTTTTGGAATGTCTTAGAACAATAGAAAACAGCTTGCATGCCTCGAGTGACATTTTTTGGTCAGGCATTTTTCAAAACAGCTGCTTTCTTAACTAGTTGAGCGTCAATGTTTGATGATTGCATGCTGGTAGCAGGCTACTTTTTGGTAACAAGGCATAGATCAGAAGCTCGTTAAGCCAATAAATGTTATGCCAAATTAGTGATGCAGTTCAAATCTGAGCCTCTCTGCTAATACTTCCTGTAATTTTGTCTAACATTTATGAACCCTTCGGTACGTCTTTAACCTTTTTTTTTTTTCTCCTTCCTTCTTTTCAGAATCCTAATTGTTCAATGCCTTTTTTTTCCCCTTCCTTTGAAGCCTCCTTCCCTGCCTTTCTCTTATTGTTTTTCTTTGTTTTCATTTTGTTCTGCCCCCCGATTCCCTGCTGCCGCAGAGCTGCTCTCTACTGGTGTGCAGCGGTTGTCATACCTGCGCACTAGCAGTCTCGGCTCCACTCACCATGACTCCCGCCCCAACTCCCCCTTCCGACACCACTTCATCCCCCATGTCAAAGGTAAGGAGCCAGGCCTCTCCAGGGAGTACCCTCCAGGCTGGAGATTTGTTAGCATTCTGTCAAAGCTGATCAGGTGCATCATCTCCGTAAGGTTGTCATTGGCTGTAGAGCTGAGCATGCCTCGAAATGTGCCGTTACACTTAAAACTGCGTCAGAATAGACATAATGTCCTTTTTTCGGAGGAAATATGTCATTTCTAAGGGCCCTAGTTGAAGAGTCATCAAGCAATTACCTATTAGAAACATACAGGAAAGCATCATTTACTATTTAGAACCTTACATGTTCCTAATTTAGTTTCTTTCTAAAGCAGTACATAACAACCAGTACAGCAGTTAGCATATCTAATTTAATAATTAGTTCCACATTCTTAAAACATGCATTTAAAAAATTGACTACAGATCTTGCCTAGATGAGAGCAAAGTGATCAAAAATATGGAAAAGAAAAAAAAAAAGATTATATAAAAATCAATGGCAACAAGGAAGTTAATAATTGTTAATCACATTGGTAATAATTAGCGCCCAACAAAATAAAACTAAAATGTCTAAGCCTCTCCTCAGCTAGTGAGAATCAGCAGACTCTGCTGAAGGCAGTAGAGTTGCAGGGATTTATACTACCTGAGGATCTGGTCATTTATCTTTTTTTTCAATCTGTTATTTCCCCTGGTTTGATTTGGAGGGCGGGTTGTTTTTTCATTGTGTCCCTTCATGGAGCTCATTCGGCTCAATAGGCTTTTAGTTCTGTTTCTCGCTTTCTGTGAACATGATTTTACTTCCATTTCTATTGGAGCACTCTCTGGCTATGCCATCTCCTCTGTTGGGGGAGAAGGTCATAGCTTATATCACCTACAAGAGCTCAAAAAGAGGCAGTTCAGTAAGTTGAACATAGATTCTATTCTGGCACCACTAATTAACGTAAGATAATCACAAACTGAAGATAATAAAAAACAGTTGCAAGGAAGTTGTTGCCATAACTTTCAAGAAATAGTAATAGACCTCAACATTATAGCTCTTCAAGGATTCAGATCACTATTACGAATTTTACTCTTGCCTTTTCTTAGATTATTTTTGTCAATATGTACTTTCAACTTTCTTATTATGCCACTATAAAAAAAAAAAATCTCACTTCAAACTTAAAAGATTGGGACCCTTAAAAATAGATACACTGCTCATTTCAGCATGCAGTTAATTCATAATCCTTGCAATTTCAACATTTCT